ACAACCCCGAATGTATAGTCTCTGGCGAGAGGTCAGGAGTCACTTGCTCCTTTGTAGAAGGGGAAGGCAAGGTGCATGGACGTGATGGGTTTAGGAAGAGACCTAAGAGGTTAATCACAGCCATCTTCAAACACATGAGGGGGAAGGGGAGGAAATAGAATTCGTTGAGTGCCTGCCACGTGCCAAGCACCGTGCTTTTCATCACAAGACCTCACTTACTGCATTCATCTTCAACAATAGGGGAGAGACAGCTCTTGAAAGACAAACTCCATGCGTTACTGTCTGTCTTACAATATTATTAAAATGCGCAAGGCAATCCCAAAGGTCACACATATCTTACTTCACTTCTCTGCAGGGTGTCTTAGAGCTGATTGTGTCCTCCATGAGCCAGTCCCAGGTCCTCTGAGCTTCTCTGCAAGCCAAGTCTACCTCCCAGGGATCCAGCCTTCCCCTACCCCCACCCCCAGGGTATGTGCTGTCCGTTTGAACGATGGCCTGGACCTGGCAATCCTAAAACCCAAACCCAATTGTTGGAAGACGACGGTGTTGGAAAGAGTCACTGTGAGATCTCAGGGGGCTTGCTTAACCCTCTGGGTTTCATTTGTCCAAAAGGAGCTGTGGGCATTGGGCTTGCTTCCCACCCGAGACCCTGTGATTTCGTGGTATCACGAGTCCCTGCTGGCTGGACATGCCCATCATTCAGAAAGCACACCTTCCTAGGAGACAGACAAGATGGGGGCAGTCTGCCCACCTTCCCTGGTGAGAGGAACAACAGGAGCTGGTCCCCCCAGCCGGCAGGGTGCCTAGGGGTCGCAGTTACCCGCGGAGGCCTCTGCGGTCCCCCCTGGGGGCCAGCACAAAGGCACCAGTGTGAGCAGGAAGCCAATTTTCAGAGTCAAACACCAATATTTTCTGTAAATAGTCCTGCCTTCCACTTCACAAGCTCTCTGCTGCTGGGAACGAGCAGGCATCGGGTCTAAGAGGAAGGGGGAATAAAGGAGGGCCCCCAGCCAGACAGCGAATCACGAAACAGCCCCCCCCCCGCCCCCAGCCGCTTCCCTTCACCAGCTGGGGATCATCCTCGCCCCAGGGAGGTGTGGGGGGACTTTCTGGGCTGAATGGCGGCAAGACCTGAAGTATACAATCCCACGTCCCACATCGCTTCGCTTGGAAAGCGAAGAGTCAACCATCAGCCTTGGCATTTATTACCCACCTGCCTGATCTTAGGCAAATGCTCTTCAACTCTGCGCTTCAAGTTATAAATCACCAGAGAGGGAGGTAATAAAATTCTCGCTCCGCCCCACAGGGTTGTCCTAGGATGCCGCCATCCACAAAGCTCGGCAGGAAAGCCAGCCCCCTTCTCGTCCTGGCCCTCCCCCTGGGACAGCAGCACCATCTGCTGTGGGTTCCCAGCACAAAGATGCCCTTAGTCCTGCCAGCCTGTGGGTACGGAGCCTTGGAGGCTGGGAATGACTAGGCCATGTAAACAGGAGGAAGACGGGCCAGCATCTCACAGGCCACAGAGACTAGCAGGCGTACTGGTCCACCGAGGATTTCCCCGAGGCTCATCTTTAATCATGCACTGATCCTTCAGAAATCTCCTTTCCCTGCCACTCCATTCTCCTGCACCACAGACACAATCAGGGGCCCACAGGGGTATTTCTGAGAAATACCATTCCCAACAGCTGTCCCAGGGGATTTCAGGAGCCATATGGCTGAGGCTGCCCCCCAACACGCTTCCTGAAGGCACTGAAGGTCCCAGCACCACCCGCCCCTCCCCTGCTCTTCCTCCCCCAGCGTCAGCTCAGGGATGGGGTTCGCTGTGCTCCCTCCCTGGTGTACCTGTTGTGGAGAGACACACACCTGTCCCAGGTCCCAGGGCTGCGCTGGGGATTTTACGTGGGTGGTGCCGGGGCAGCTGCCTTATTTACGCCTCCGCAGGGTCCCTGCCCAGTGGCCTCAGGACGCGGTGAGCACTGGCAGTGATGGAGAACCCCTTCCTAATGACTCGAGTCTCTCAGGGACCCAGCCCGCATTACTGCGTACCATTCATTTAGCAAACTTTTTCTAAAAAATATATTTTTATTGATTTCAGAGAGAAAGAGAGAGGGAGAGAGAGAAACATCAATGATGAGAGAATCATTGATCGGCTGCCTCCTCCATGCCCCTTCCTGGGAATTGCGTCCGCAACCTGGGCATGTGCCCTGGCCGGAAATCGAACTGTGAGCTCCTGGTTCATAGGTCTACACTTAACCACTGAGTCACCGCAGCCGGGCCATTTAGCAAATCTCTTTTTATGAGCCAGGCCTCACACCAGCACAAGGATAGTAGGTGATGAGGAGTGAACGGGACATCGCTGGCCCTGTTGGCGCTTTCTGTCCTGGGGAGAGAGAGACTTTTACCTGCTCATCACACAAAGGCGTGAAAGGTTACACTGCGCCATGAGTTTACTGAGAAATGCTGATGACCCTAAGACAACATATGACAAAGGAACCCCTGTGTGATGACAGAGGCAGGGAAGGGCTCCCCGAGGGCAGGGAGACCTAGGAGAGAGCTGGGTCACGTTCCAGGCCAGCACAATACAGCGAGTATTGAAGGAAAGCCAGCTGCAATCTTATTGCCGAGGGAGGGTCTTGCATTCGATTTGTAAAAGGCATAACGTCTGTGAAGTGCAACAAGACGAGGTGTGCCTGTACATGCCGGAGGACAGAACACGGGAGACGATGTCCTTTAGAACTCACTAAGTTTGTACTTTTCAATTCTTTTTTTTTTAAGCCCTCAATTCACGTGGCTAACAGTCCAGTAAGTAAAATAATGAACAGCAGGTCTACCTGCCCTCAAGGGGGCAGGAGAGAGTGAGAAGACCCATCTCCTCCCCCCCACTCCCCTTGCCTCCAAGAGCTCCTGGAAGTTCCCATAGATGACAGCACTCGGCACCTAACTCCTCAGCCTCCCAACTCTCCCCAGATTCCACAACAGGCTACACAGTCAGAGCCTTTTAATCCCATGTTGCCTCGGCTGCAAAGGAGAGCGGGGCATCTTTAAGGACCTGCTGCACTTCGGGCACTGCCGGGCCTTCACGTGAGCCATCTTATTTGATCCCTCCCTTGGCAGCCCATCCAACAGCTGATGGAGCCGGGCTCAGAACCCAAATCAGAGCTATTCCGTGGCAGGCCAGGAGATGAACGTGGGCTTTTTGTTTTCTGCTATTTTGTCTTTTCTTAAAAAGTAGAGGGTACAGGCCCAGCTAGCATGGCTCAGTGGCTGGGCGTCGATCTATGAACCAGGAGGTCACGGTTCGATTCCCGGTCAGGGCACATGCCCAGGTGGCTGGCTCCATCCCCACAGTGTGGGCTATGTGGGAGGCAGATGATCCATAATTCTCTCTCATCATTGATGTTTCTATTTCTCTCTTCCTCCCCCTTCCTCTTTGAAATCAATAAAAATAGATATTTGTTTAAACAGTAGAGGGTACAGGCTTGCAAGGGACACGGCTCAGGATTGCCCGGAGACAGGAGAACGCAGGAGGAGGAGGAGGCGGACGCAGCCTTCCGCGCCAGATGCCGCCGCCCCTCCCGTTGCTTTTCCCCTCGGTGTTGGCCCGCACACCCGGGAGACAGAGTGGCTTGCTTTTACCTTAATTAGTGCAGCAATTTGCTAAATTCTGTTTTTCCCTTTTTGAGAGTGTTAATCAATTTTAGCTCAGAATAGATTGGAACGGCACACACATTACCACGACAATCCCCAAACGCTGACTTCTGAGCGTCTCCATCAACCTCAGAGCCTGAAATGCGGGAAAATCAGCAGCTCTGGCCGGCATCTCTGCGATCTATTTAAAATGTTATGGCTAGGAGATGAAAATATAATGGCTTTATGAGGTTTGGAACAAGCAATTTGCTGGAATCAGCCTCATGCCTAGGTGTTTAGTCCTCCCCAAGGTGACTGGAGACAGAGCATCATGTATTTCTGCAAAGTTACACCTTCCTCTAACAACTGCAATTTGTTAAACCCACAAGCACGACGGGGTTCCAACCCTGCACCACCAGACGGAAAAGGACCAGATGGGCCCCGTCCCCTCCCCCACGAAGAAGGTTCAAGATTGAAGCAGCGGACGGACAAGCGAGGAGAAAACGTGTCCTCTTCTCTGGGGAAACCGGGAAAGGTTCTCAGACGAGGTGGCAATGCGTCTGAGCTCCGAAGGGTGAGCAGGAGTGGAGACAAGGCGAGTGGAAGGGCACGTCAGTCAGAAGGAATAGCACAAGCAAAGCCTCAAACACAGCAGAGAAGGCGGAGAGAACCAGTAACACAGTGAATTTGCAGGAATGACAAGAGCGTCCAGAGCCAGACTATGCAGGACTTCTTAACCAGATGTTGACGCAAGCACAGTGGCACAACAGGAGGATTTTAAGCGAGGAGGGAGTGACGGGATCAAATGGGTCTCATTTGACTGAAACCCTCTGGCCCAACATGATCCTTAACATTTATTCAGCAGTCTTTTAAAACACACTCACATACATCCTCTTGTTTGAGCCTCTTAATCCCTCATGGGGTTGGCACTGCAGCACCTTTCTTCAGGTGAGAAAACATACCCAGCAAAGGTACAGGTCATCCACTTTGGGTCCTATGACCAGTGAATACAATCCATGAATCCAAGCCCAGGTTCAGCATTTACTTACCTCATGGGGGAACAGATCATAATATAGATCTCTTTCAGATACCTACCAGGCCCATGGCCTACAGCCTCCACAGAAAGCCTGGGTGGCCAGAACTGCTCAGACCCATGGACACTGTGAGCTAAGGAAGTGGTTGCTTTAAGGCTTTGGAGGATAAAAGCAGACTTGGGTGGCCGCACCCTCAGTGATCCCCGGGCATTTCCAGTGGGGAGCTGAGACTGCTGCCATGGCTGAGGTCCCCTAAACCATAAACAAGAAAAGCCCAGTCGAGG